GAGATTTTCTTTAGGAATTAGAAAAATCATGAGAAAGATCCTTTGAACCACCCGTTTTAAATATCATCAATTCTCTATGTCACCTGTTTTCTTTTTCTGAGTCTGCCTTGGGACAATTACTATGGCAATATAGTATCTAATAATTCAAATTAGTTCTTGGAGTAGGAAGATAGGGTAATTATGGGCATTCTTTAAATGTATAAAGTGTAACCTTTACAACAGCAGCTTTAATGAATGACTTTTGTTTTTGTTGCTGCTGTTGTAGAAATGCTCATTTAGGGATTTTATTTCTACTGTCTTTATTCCTCAGTAAATACTAGAGTTAGAGACTTGTTTTTGCAAGTGGTCTGAGATGTCAAGTAACCATCCTTACAGGCAATTTGGTCTTCATTACAAATTAATGAAGTGATAATTGCTCTCTCCAATCTTTTACGTGCAAAGCATTATGGTGCTGTTTGCATTATCTCCTTGCAATTTATACCTCTACATTCAAGGACTTGTGATAGCTTGCCAAATTAGCATCGAGAGGGAAAATGTTAAACTACAGTGAGAGCTCCATAATTAAAATCATATTTTACATCAGATTACAAAAATCGCTACATAATCTCCCACTGTTTGATGTCTAGTAAAATGCTGTTCATATATAGCAGAAGAAATTTGCAATTGATTCGTCAGTTGAACTACCAACTCATTTTTAGTCTAGTAAGGAAATCTTGACCTAAAAAATTTTAAGTCAATTGGCTTATTTTTAAATAATGATGCCCATGATCTGACTCTCTGTAAAATGTCTGCAGCAAACATTTATACTCTAGAGTTTTGTTAGCTCTGTATTTTACAATGGTTTTGGAGAACCAATAGAAAAATAATAGAGAAAATTTCACATAATACTGACTTTTTAACATCAGAGCTTTTTGGAGCTCCAATTCTGATCATTCTTTTTTAAATTTTTCTGATGTTAAACTTATACATTAATTTTGCCTTAAATATGACTTTACTATTATAGGCATCTCAATGTAAAATTTTAAGAATGGAGACTCTCATATATACTTTCCTTCTTAAAAAGTTCATAGAGTGGATGTTTGAAATTGGTATGTTGGTGATTATTAAGAGCAGTGCAAATTTTTTTCTTATATTAAGATATAAATATATCTTGTATATTAGGTCGAGGGGTCCTAAAATAGTCTAAATTTGTTTCTTTGTTGAACATTGGGTGTGACAATGAGTTAAACCAAATTGCCTCTGGAAAATTAGGCCTTTCTTATACTCTAGACCCTGAATGATCAAAGTTATTAAAATAAGTGTTGCTTTTCACTTATTTGTTCTTGCTTTGTTTTGGGGGTTATAGGAGAGCTAGTCAGAATAAGAAGTTTTTAAACTGTGTTTTTCACACTGATGGGGGCCCACAAATTGGTTTTGATAATTCAAACACTCTAATATAAATAATTTATTTTTTCTTTAGTGAGGTTCAAAGGCCAAATAAATACTATATTTCTTTGTTTATGGTTACCATAAAGGTAACTATTAATAAATTAACCTTTTATTTCATTTTGTGAGTAGAAATTATGGAACTCCTATTTTTTTAATAAATAGAAATAGAAAAAGAACTGTTATACATTTTAGATGCCATTAAAAGAGTGTAAAACTTGCCTTTCCCTTAATGAAGAAAATTTAGGAACACATTTATAATGGGCTTCACAAAGATTGTATTTATTTACAAAATCCAATTACATTATCTAATAAGAACTTTATATTTGTTACCTTCTTGAATGATTCCTACATATATTATAAGAGAAAATATTTGTTTATGCATCTCCCAAAAGTTGAAATTTTGTGTTGCATATTATGGAGGAAATAAAGAGGTCTAAAATTTAACAAACGTGTTGAGACAAAACTAAATTTCCCTTACCATGTATCAAGAATTAGATTTGTTTAATCCTTCACCAAAGTATAAATTAGTACTTTTGATTGATTCATTGTTTGATAGATGGCCACGGGGTTGGGGAGCATGGCATAAGGAATGTAGTTACATTAATGTAACGGCTAGTTGGAAAGCAAGAGGAGAGAAAGAGCAATTAGGGAAATCATTTTACCAACTATATAAATGTCTAACCAAAGTACTGTATACTTGAAACCAATAATAAAATAAAATTTGAAAAAAGAATTAGATTTTTGAATGACTGTGGAATTTAATAGGGGTTATATAATACAATTTCTTATGAATGAAAGGGGTATGAAAAGCATCAAGAAGAAAAGAATACAATCCAGTTGAGGTTATATCAGAAACAAAAAACTATCAAATGTGTCTTTTGAAAACAGTAAAAGAGTCAACACTGACAAAAACATAGTTTGTGCATAAGTGAAACATAATTCACTAACCTCAATTCAAACTTCTAGAAAAACATAAATGTAAGTTGGAACCAGTTTTTGGAAAAATACAAACATCAAACTAAAGAGTTTGAAACTTATTGCATAGGTAATGAGGAGCCCTAGAAGATTCTGAATTTAAGAATGATATGACAAACATCAATTTGTTCTCTGTATCTATGAATTTGTTGCCGTTTTATTTGTTCATTTATACAGAGAACAAACTGACAGTTTCCAAATGGGACAAGGGTTGGAAGGCTGAGGAAAAAAGGTGAGGAGATTAAGAAGTACAAATTGGAAGTTACAAAATAGGTACAGAGATGTGAAGTATAACATTAGGAATCTAGTCAATAATATTGTAAATAATTATGTATGGTGTCAGGTGGAGTACTAGACTTATCAGGGGGATCACTACATAAGTTTTATAAATGTCTAACCACTATGCTGTATACCTGAAACTAATATAGTATTGAATGTCAACTATAATTTTAATTAAAAAATAAAAGGATGATATGGCAAACGTTTTGTTTTCCTGGTAGCAATAGGCAAAATTGGGCATGTTGAAAGAAAGTGTAAACATTGTAATAATAGAAACAGAATGGTATAATAGTTGTAGAATTTTAAGTAACACAAATGATGTGATACTAAATTAAAAGCTTTTCAAAATCTGTTCTAAAGATCACAGAAGAAGTACTTCACTGTTCTAAAGTCTCGAACATTTTAAATGTTTTTACAATAAAAATATTTGTAGTAGGATAATCCTAACTGCTATAACAACAACCACCATCACTCAAATAGCTATTTATTTTTTTCTTGTGTAAAATTTAATGTGGGTAAAAGATATTAAGAATTGAAATGTTCTCTACACTTACATCTTCTGTTCTCCATGCATAACTATTAGTTGTTTTATTTGGGAGAGGGAGGGAGGGAGAGGAAGAAACCATGTTTACATGTTTATTTCAAATTTTCTTTTATAGTTCCCCAAAATGTATTCTTTAAAATAACTGAGTACATTAAAAAACATCATGCTTAAAAATACATGGTAATAACATCATTTAGATTCACCTTGCTTTCCCATATATTGATTTTACCAAAATCTGGTTCACATTGGGAAAAGATTAACAAAGATGAATTTAGATGGTGGTATTTTTTTCATTCTCTTCTTTAATAACAAACAAACAAATAAACAAAAAGAAAACAATCCAAAATATATACAACAAAACCACTTTATAGTGTTATAGAAGATGCCTGATTTGAAGTTTTGGTCCTGGACTATTTGGCTAGGTTCAATCAATTGCTAAGCAACTTTTTCCTGAATATCTCAAAAACTGCAATGCATTTCAAATGTGTTCATCAAAATTATAAATTACTTTGTGTCAATAAACTCAGAGAATCTTGCAAATAACAATAATTTTTTTAAAAAGAATATTATGGAGTTGCTCCACATCATGACTTTTAATGAGTAACACTGAAGATTTTGCTTGTTTATTTGGTATTTCCTGTGATACCATTGACACTCTCATTTTGTATTCATTATTATTCATTATGCTTATTACTTCTGACTCTCTTTGTGTTTTTTTTTCTTCTTTGACTCTTCAGTGGGAAGAAATCAGTGGTGTTGATGAACATTACACACCCATCAGGACTTACCAGGTGTGCAATGTCATGGATCATAGTCAAAATAATTGGCTGAGGACAAACTGGGTCCCCAGGAACTCAGCTCAGAAGATTTATGTAGAGCTCAAGTTCACTCTACGGGACTGCAACAGCATTCCATTGGTTTTGGGAACTTGCAAGGAGACTTTCAACCTGTACTACATGGAGTCCGACGATGACCACGGGGTCAAGTTCCGAGAGCATCAGTTCGCAAAGATTGACACGATTGCAGCCGATGAAAGTTTCACTCAAATGGACCTCGGGGACCGTATTCTGAAGCTTAATACTGAGGTTAGAGAAGTGGGTCCTGTCAACAAAAAGGGATTTTATCTGGCTTTTCAAGATGTCGGCGCTTGTGTTGCCTTGGTGTCTGTGAGGGTATACTTCAAAAAGTGCCCGTTTACGGTGAAGAATCTGGCTATGTTTCCAGACACGGTGCCCATGGATTCCCAATCCCTGGTGGAGGTTAGAGGTTCTTGTGTTAACAATTCTAAGGAGGAAGACCCTCCCAGGATGTATTGCAGTACGGAAGGAGAATGGCTTGTACCCATTGGCAAGTGCTCGTGCAATGCCGGCTATGAAGAAAGAGGTTTTACGTGTCAAGGTAAGTCTTCTCGATTTTCCTTAGAGTGGTATTTCTCACTTGCAAGTTTATCGTAGAGTAATGAAAAGAAATAAATTTAGCCTGAACTCACTTGGCAGCAAATCATGGCTCAAACTGAACAGAGTCTATTTATAGACTAAATTTATCTCACTTGCTGTGTTGATTCATAGTTTGTTGTAGAAATATTAACATGTTTGATTATGTGGTGCTGGCCTATATCCCACTAGAGGTGTTACATATGTTATTTTTAAGTTTTCCTTGCTATGTAATGATTTGGTAGTAGAATTCAAAATCAACTGAAAGAAAAAAAAAACTGTCTTTTTTCTGTAGAAGAAAGAAATATCATTGGCACTCAGGTAATCTAATTATAATGGGATTAGTTACTGCATTGACTAAGTATGTGCTTTTCTATGTCATAGCAGTATGTACTTTATTGCTGTTAAATATAGTCTTTTCTTATATATTAAAATTTTAAATGTATAAATGCATAAGATCTAGTCTGTTTTAATATCTTTGTTTGCTGTTACACTCTGCCAAAGGAATTGAGTTTGGTATTCTATTTATGGCCATTCAGTAAGTCTCAAGTCCATCCAGGAGAAATTATTATACTTTATACAGAAATTGACCTTTATAACAATCTAAACAGAACATAGCATTTTGCCTTTGACTATAGACATAGTTTATAGAAAAAAATTAATGAGAACAAACGGTACACTTTAACCTCATACTTTTCCATGTTATGTAGATCCTTGGCAAGCACCATTAGAACACTGTTAATAGTTTTGAAAGTTCTAAAATTGAAACAACATACTATTACTGGCATATATACATGAGCGGAGATAAGTCTCCATAGTCTTCATTTTTCACTTTGAATTGTATTTTATTATATGGTATTATTTATGATTTATGAATTGTATTTTATTATATGATATTGTTTATGATTTATATTTGTGAGATCTATTTTAAATAAAATAATGAAGGCCTAGCTCAAGGAGAATTAAACAAATTGTCTATCTCCTCTAATTTAATCACTGTTGAAGCACACTCTGATATCCACACAAGACAAGAAATAGCTGTGTTTCCATCTCAGTAATATGTATCAATGTAAGCATTGAGCAATAAACCTACTCATTAGATGCTTGGATTTTAAATAATTTTTATACAGTGCTTTATATTTTATTCAAAGTTATAAGAAATAAAAAAATAAGTATCAGTGAGGTAATTAGAATCACATCAATGTGTTAATAGAAATAAATAAAGCATTCAAATTATTAGCTCATTATACATGCTGTCTTGAAGATAAACTTTGGTAGAAGAATTTTTAAAAAGAATTATATTAAGTTGTATTGAGAAATTTCACAATAAATTCAGAATTGTTACTGTTTTTCTTATCTTGTCTTACTTTAATGAACCACCTTTTTAAAGTAACTGCTATGCTATTCAGTGGTCCTCCGTGTCAAATTATTCCTAAAGATAACATTTATGTCAGTTTTACATCCTTGAATCTTGTAGTTTACAATGTATCAGGACGTCAACAAGACTTCTTTAATATAATAATACTATATTATTATAGACTTTCTCAGAATTTAAAAATATTATTTTCAGAATAAGATATACATATGCATAGATAGCAAAGTAGTCTACAAAAATATTTTGAAGATAAACCAATAAAAGTAATTTTAGTAGAAGCAGAGATGGCACATGAAATGGGCTGTGATTGAAATTTAATAGGGGGATGATTTTTAGCAGTGTAATTTGAAGATGGAGCATGTTGCTCTGGTTATATTTGACATTCTCTGTTGTCAGGCATGTTTTGAATCAACAAATATTTGTGTATTTAGGTTACTAGATAATGTGTCAAGGTATTCTACTTTGTCTGAATTACATGTTGTGCCAAGTATAAACCGATTTTATTTAACAGATGCTTGTTTTAACGTCAGTTTAGTGTATACTCTATTATGTTTTGAAAATTCGATACTCAACCATTTAATTCTACAGTTGGGGATCTGTAATAGTGTAGGCCAGCATCACTTGAGACTTATAATTTTGCTATTGTTGTCAGTAATAGTTCTGGTGTTTGTTATGGTTTCCTTTTTGAATTTTTAATTTTTGGTTGGATTTTAATAAGCTTGTGGACTGGTCAGAACAGTTTGCTGTGCCTCTTAAAAATCAGTATTTCAATTTTATCACCAGTACTTCAATTTGGTCACACAGAAGAATGGTAATACTTTAAAAAGATATAAATGAAAAGATAGCTAGATAAACCTATGTATTTTGTAGATCAGTTTTGTTTGTTTGTTTGCAAAAAAATAGTGTGTTACTCTTTTAAAAAAGGATAGAGCCATACTTTGATATGTCCACTATTTAGAGCACACATATAGCCAGATAGTAAACACATCAAGACTATTTTATAAGACAATAATCACAACTACAGGCTTTCAGTTGCCTAAAACAGAAGAAAACGAGACTCATTCACTTTATTTCAACAAATATTTAATGAGCACGTACTTCATAACAAGCACTGTAGTAAGAATTCGAAGACACTCATTAAGCACTTAGTAGATGTCAGACACTGCTAATTTGCTAAGTTATATTTATGATGTATCTCATTTATTCCTTAAAATAACCTATAGGTACATACTATTATTATCTCCATTTAAAAAGTGAGAATAAAGCTTTGATAGGTAAATATCTTGCCTTAGTTTCCTTAATGAGTGAGTATTAGAGTTGAGGTTTAAAACCAGGCAGCCTGACTCCAAAGGCTGCAGTAGTAAACTCAACCCACACTGCTTCCTTGCGATTCAGTGCAATGGTGACAGAGACCAGGAACCCTCATGATGACACAAATGCCACTGGAGTTAGAGTGCCGTATATTGAAGGATGAATAGGGCCACAGAGAGTTGGCAAAAAGGAACCAAGAATCTGTTAATACAAGATTTAACTATTTCAGTTTATTTCCTAGATCTTTTTGTTTCTAGAATTTTAAGAAAGAATTGCCAACCAAAATTTCATATTGTGAGAAGATGAGGTTTATTCCTGGTGATTTCTAGTAAAATTTGGATATGTGGGTTGTTAAGCATCTTAGAGAAGCAAGAAAAAGTCTACTACATTAAATTCAATAAGTGTTTATGACCATCTTAATACAAAGTAATAATGGACCAGACACAGGACAAACATAGATGAATAAGTCATTGTATCTACCTTCTACGAATTGACAATCTAATATGAAAGACAGATACGTAAATGAATAATTTTAGTGCAAGACAGACCAATAAATCTTCTAAACATTTTACATTTTAAAAGATACATACACACTCACATTTTTGAACTATCAGCTAGTTTAGCAATGATAATGTTCATCTTTCTCTTTCTAGTGTCTCTGCCTCCAAAAGAACATAGCTTTTTAACTGAATTACTAAACAGAGCTAAGTTAATAATAGCTTAAACTGAAAAATAAGTTATTAGTATGATGAGGAAGAAGGTATTGGTATGGGAGGATGTGAATGTGAAATTAAAATTGTTTGCAATAAGATACAGTATGTTGCTGGTCTTTCTTTTCTTAGGGCAGAAAGAACATGGAAAAGTAAGAGTAGAAAATAGTACATCTTTCTGTTTCAGAGACTGGTCAGAGGAAGAAAATAAGGAAGGAGTGAAAAAATATTTATAAATGATTATTCAGGAATTACATTCCAAGCAAACTAGAAATACAGAAAAAGGCAGCTCCAGGAGTGTAGAAAGTACTTATTATAATAAATTTGGTAAAATATAAATGTACATATAAAATAATCACACCAGATTAAATGATAAAGGGTAATGTAAAGATTAGTAAAGAAAGTAAAAAGTCATGATCAGATTTGTTTTTGTAGCAGTTTTTTCAATATATAATTTTAAAATATGGCTTTCGTTTAAGAAAGTTATTTCTCAATTTAATGACATAGGAAGAAATCATGGAATCTCTTTTAATTTACTGTGTGTGTGGTTTAAACCTCATTTGGGCCACTTTCCTAGGATCTGGGCAAACTTTCTGGATGTTGCAAATACAGTCAAATTGCAGATTGAGTTGTATTTATAGGATTTCAATAAACCTCCTTTTAAAAAGATGACATTAAAAAATTAAAATTATAAACATAAATCATGTGCTATTTATCTTCGATAATTAATAATCTTGATTTACTTGATTTATTTTATTTAGGAAATCCTTCATATTTCTTACATCACAGCACAACTCTTTTTACTTCTTAAGATTAGAGGTGGGGGAATTTCACATTGATTCTAAGGAAATCTTGTGATCTCTAGTATTATTTTTTTAATACTGGCTAATAAATTATGTTATCTGCTTTGATTCAGTTTGGAAAAAAGAAATCAGAATGCTAATGGCTTTTTATATAGTCAATTAATTACATTTGAGGCACAAACCAGGAGGTTACTATAAATATTCCTGCTCCTACAAACTTTGTTTAGACTTAATGTACCAAATACCTTATTAATGTCACCGAAAAATCTGTTGCTCTGTGTTTTATCTCTGTGCATTCAGTGTGGAATACTAACTTTATTTCTTGTTCTTGTACATTAGCAGCTTAATAGACAATGTGTATTCGATGTGATGTATGAAGACATCTAGACTTTTTGATGCTTATTTGTAATTATGTTTGTTTCACCTAGGACTTAACAATGCCAGCTCTTAACTCTATCTATTTTTCTGTCAATTCTGAAACTCTCTTATAAAAGCTGTCAGGGTTTTAATAACAGAATGATTTAGATATTCTGCTTGCTCTAGAGAAGCTAGAGAAAATTTAAAATCTTAGTGGAAGTTTTTTTTTAGCAACTACTAAGTCTTTGTGTACCTTGAATGTAAGTTCTGGATAGGATGTATTGTATATTGTTTATCTTTGAATCCACGAGGTCTTTCAGAATGCCTTGCATATAAAGACATTCATGCTTAATTTGAAATGAATACATTTGACTATTAGGTCACACACATTTGCAACAAGTTAAGACTA